AACCAGGCCTTCAAACCCTTACGGAAGGCCATGAGTGTGGGGGCCAATCGCACCTCCGGGGGCAGAATGTTCCAAAGAGCGGGGGCTACCGCAGAGACGGCCCGCCTTCTGGACCCCGCTATACAAAGTTCTTTTTCTGAGGGGGTCCGAAGCATGCCCTCTCTGTGTGATCGGGTGGGACGGGTTGAAGTCATAGGGGAGAGGCGGTCCCTTAGGTAACCTGGTCCCATGCCATGTAGGGCTTTAAAGGTGTAACCAACACCTTGAATTGGATCATATGTATAAATGATGTTTATTCTCACAATCATAAGAATTATATGAGTCTTCATTTTAAAGGTAATGGGAAAATCATTAAAATGCATGCTTCTTTTTAATCTTTATAGTGAGATACTAGGTTTCTCCTCCATAAGATTACTTTTATGTAACCTGATTGGGTAGTCAGTTGAAACAAATATTATGAAAAGGGTTGGCCTTTTAATATTCCATTCCTTGACGCTATGTTTTGGCAAGTCTTCATCTAAATATATTATTTATCTGCATCTCAGTGTTTTATCTAAATGAAATCCCTGCTGTATGATAGAGATAAATATTATACACAATACTTGATGTGATATGTGGCCAATTTATGAAGCTAACTGCATGTTGTTTTTCATATACATTTGAGATATACTTTCATCCATACATATCTTGAAACTGTTAATGTGCAATGACTGAAAGTGAACCAAGCAATATGTAGAGGAGTTCTACCATTTTTGTAATGGAACCCTATCCAAGATTTTGCAGATATTCTGATACCTGAAAAGCATACATAACCTTTGACATCCCTTTCAATTTTATGGTTCTGTGAAAAACCAGGTTCTCTGGGAATGTGGCAACCCCAGCACTTGGGGAGCAGGAAGAGTCCTGCTTCTGTATCTCTGTGTATGTTTCCTAAAAGGAAATAAGAAATTGGTATTGTAAGGTTTTGAATGTTGAGTTCCTCAAAGGGATTTAAGTATGCTTTGAAGTCCTAGAATAAAAGACTTTTTAATAGAAGCAGCAAAAACTGAGAAGGAAAAACCATTCTCCTCCTAGTCTTTTTAATTTAATCAACCTAATTAGGGAAATAAAACTGGATGCTTTCAAATATTTTTCATTTTAATCATGAACAAATGTTCTTTGTAATTTTAATGATATGTTATTCTGATATTAAGAGGAAAACAATATGTAGGTTTGATATTTTAAATCAAAATATATTCAGTTGCAGGGTATTAGAGAAACAACTTTTAATATAGAAGATGTCCCAATTGCCAATTTTTAAAAAGACTGTGAGCCTTAGAGTTTTCAGAGAATTTTTGTTCATTATTAAATTTACACATTGCCTTCCTGTTTATTGCAACATTAAAGAGAGCTTACGATATTAAAGAGTATAAAACATAATAAAATTGATGCAGTTAAAATAAAAAACAAAATTAAATTTAGTCATGAAACTAGCAAAAGCTGGGTGAAAGAGATGCTTTTTTCCTATCTTCTTAAATGCTATAAGAGTAGGCGCCAATTATCCCTCCTTAGGGAATTCATTTCATTGCTTGAGAACCACATAGCAGAAGGCCATTTTCCAATTACCTGATAGTTACTCTCCTGGCAGTGGGGTCATTTTTAGCAGGGCCTCTTCTGCTGACTTAAGGGTTGTAAAGAAATTTAGAGCTAACCTTGGGGACCTTCTAAGTGAGCTGTTAAGGAAGAGCTTAACAGAATAGCAGGAAGCATGAGAAAGAAACTCAAAATAACTCCGCCTTGATTGTGTTTATTATAAGATGGGATGGAGAGAAACTTGGATAGGCTTCATGAAAATTGTCAGCCCTTCGTGATAGGATGGGTCAAGAAACAGATACAGAGATTTCAAGAATGCTACTTTATTGTAAGGATTATGATCAAGTTGTGGATCACCATTGCTAAGTCTGACTGGTTCCAAAGGGTCACAGTTGGCACACAAACATACTTTTGCAACTATCCTTGCCACAACAAGAGGCATAAGGAGTAAAGGAGCACTCCCAAACTGTAAATCTCATCCTGTCCCTCATCTTGGCCCAGAACCCAACTTTTTCCTTACCGGCAGTATCTCTGTACCCTCTGGGTTTATCAGAGATATACAATATTTCTGTATTGCTGTATCCTCTTGTTCCCCCTCATCCAGCCCATTATCAAGCAATTTTATGTAGATGTTCAACACCATAGGAAACATGGTACAACCCTGTGGAACATCATAGACAAGGGACAGAATTTTGTGAAAATAATTTTCCATTGTATTTATGTCTAGCATATTTTCATCTTATTGAAAGTCAAACTTTCTGGAGGTCATTGAAAATCCCCCAAAGTTGTTTGACATTGGGAGTATCTTCTTTATATATTGGCTCATTTTATCAGCAATTCTATTGCTTTTTCTCACTATCAAGGCAAATATCTGCCCTCAAGAAAAACAGGATTATCATGAACTGAAGTCTTGCTCCAATTGTATTTTACTGCTTCTGTCTGAAAGTCATCTGGTCTCCAAAAAGTAGGACCTGAGTAACTCAGCTCAAATTATATAAATAAAATAATTTTTAATTTTTAAGATAATGAACCTTTACTTTTGGTGATGAATACATTTTTAAAGGAAAATGATAAGAATCCCAGCCTTGGGAGTTTTTCATTAAAACAGTAGTATTTCTTTTCAAACAAATATTGCAAGTTTTGCATATTAATACATTGGACTGTTTTGGCTAGTTCATGTTAATAAATAGTTACTCAGACATACATCTTGCGAGTTAAACATCTTTAATAACATCTTTATTTTAGTGGCATATAGAAGAGATGATATGTGGTCTGAGCGGTATGAATATGAAAGACTACCACGAGAAAGACTTCCTCCGCGTCCTGATGTAAGCAGATTGCTAATAATTGTGGGGTTCCCCCCCAATATTTTAATCTCTTTAGTTGTTGATCAGGAATTTAAATTTAATATCTCAAACTTACATGGATTAAAGTGCACATATGAATATTCAGTTAGGAAGCCTACGGTGGTTTACAGTGAATGCTGTGTTTCATAAAACTTTGTATCATTCCTAATGTGTAGAACCCTCTTTAGTATCTGTGATGGGCTTTGTAAAATGATGTTTAGTATAGCTTAATTTGAATATGTGAATCTCATATTTATCCTAAAATGGAGAATAGAGAAGGAGAAACAAATGCTTTGTATACAATCTGTCTCAGGGATAAGGACAGATTGTATATAAAGCAAGGGACAAATACAAACTCGAAGCCTTTTTATTTTATTTTTTTACAGCTCACAGAGTTCCCTTCCATACCAGTGAATAAAATTCTGTATACAATCCCCCCACACACTTCACACACACACACACATGAGTTCCTTATAAAATCTGGGAGGGGGGAAGAAATCCTAATTTCACCCATGGTAATGATGCGGCCTTGTCCACTTTGCTTCTCCCCACCTACTGTGGGTCCCTTCTCTGCCCATGGTTTATTTGTTGAATTCTAATGTAGATGAGCTGAGCTTGTCTTTTTCTTTAAAAAAAAAAAAAAAACACCTTCCTTT